AATACAGCAAAACCAGTGATTGCTATATAATTTTAAATTAATAAAATGTTAGTTAATTTTATAGAGTTTATTCTAGAAACATTTCTAAAATTTTCTAAAAAGAAATTATGTTAATCAATGAAAGAATGAAAATTACATTTTTAAACAGATTAATTTTTTAAGATATTTTAATAGAATTAATTCTAAAAAATCCCTTCTTTCGGTAAAGCAGATAGGAACCCAATCATGGCCGTCTAAGTATGTGACAATCTCTACCATTGATATTTATAGTAGATATATATTTTACTTGTATATAAATATAACTTACGCTTGTATAGATTTAGAAAGGGGCCACCTTTCCATTTGAGCTTGATATTTCATATTTTCGATCTGTTTCTTGAGTGTATCTTTGTCCATTTTCGTTATAACACTGAGCAAAAATATTCAACCTGCTGCGACAGGAAAGCGGCCTTGTGTAGTGTGTTCCTTTTTATACCAACGCCCACCGCTAGAGTGCACTGGTGTCATGACAAGAGGATCGATATCCACACTCGACTAGTGCTTAATGTAATCACAATCTTAGTCGAACGGGGTCATCATTTTTGACCTTTTACAACAACGTACTGAATTCAAATATAAAGGAAATTTATTTTAAAACTCCAAACTTTTCTATTACAAATCGAATAAGGGTCGCCATTTTTGATCTTTGGCAACGTATCAATTACTCATAGAATTAAAACTATGAATTAAAATGAATTTATTACTATAATATTATCTTAAAATATTATTATTTAATACTTTAAATATTTTAAAAACTCGTTTTTTTAAGTGTGAAAAGATTGCAAAGTAAATTAGATTTGCCTTTAAAGCTGTAGTTTGAATCAAATGTGGGCGCTATTTTTTATCTTTAGTGAAAGTACCAAAGTAACAATTGAATTGAATGTAGCGAAAACTTTTAAATTAAAGATTTAAAATGCTAAGAAAATAGAGAAAATAGATTAAATTGGTTCTATCTATGGACAGTTTTCTTTAACTCTTCGCCTGTAGGTTCTAATAATAATGGGTTCGGTCAGGCCCACAATAAGGCAGGGTGGTGAGGAGTTGTGTCCGACATATCCGGACAGATCACTCTTGGGTGTTTTCGATACGTTCGGATTCGATTCCGGATCCCGGAGTAATAGGGTGTCACCTTAACTGTTCGGCCATCCTGCCTGTAGGGAGAGTTCAAGAGAGCAAACTACAGCTTTTTGAGGACCTTAAATGTGAGGCTTAGCCATAATACCATGTGACAGGCAGGCCATATTTAGATATTTATCATTGGGAGGCGTAGAGGACGATTTTTCCGAAGTGCCAATCAGGAAGGATGGTTCTGCTCCCACATTCTCTCCATATCTCATGCTCCTTCTTTATACTTCTGTATTTCTTTTTATTCCGAAAAATATATTATTACGATTATTTTTGGCCATGGAATTCGCCGATATAGAGGGACGAAACGACCCCAATAGTTTCATTCCTTGCCAAGCTTCTGGGTGTGGCTCTCTACACGTTATTCTTTTGCAATTTGTTCAATGTTTTAGCTACTTGTATTATTGATACATAGTAAACACACATTTTTATTGTTACTATAATAGCATCAGAAAATTTTCAATTTAAATTTCTAAACATTACAAAAGGAGATAGATCTTTCTTTCCACTTACATAGAACACGGTCACGAAACTATTTTTTATTGTGTAAATATGTCTTACCGTGCATTAAATTTATGATTTAATGAAAACTAAAATACTTTATTTAGTTGGATAAGCTCGATCCATTTTACCCCAACCACCTTTTTATACTAATTAATTTTCGTCACGGGCGACGTACTCACATAAATATGCATGAAAGCGCTATCAAGTAAATTGAATCTTTATCCGCCCGGCTAATATAAATGAGTTGATTGTTAAAGAATTTTCAAGCGTAAAATTGTAATTTTCCATTAATGTTTTTAATCCAAAGCATTAAAAAAAAAAAAACAGCACATTAAATAAGAAAAACTAATAAGAAATTCACGAAACTATTGATTTACCATTAATGTAATGTCTTTTTATGAAAATTATTTGCTTTCTAAATGGTATTTAGTGTTAATTCTATGCAAAATATTTACATCGAAATGTTTCCTATTTAAATTACAAGTCGACCCTCCTATAACACTGTTGATAATTTCGTTTTATATGAATTCCATGTTGTACGAGTTACTTAGATTTNGAAGGTAGCATACAGGCGCTAATAATGATTTTTGGTTTATTCATATAATAAATCAGAAAAGCCGTTAAATATTAAAGTAAATGTCTTTATACGTAGATTTTTAATAATTTATTTTAAATAACTAACAAAACTGAAGCTTTTTAAGTTGAATAAATGATGAAAATTCATAAATTATTACTTACATTTTTCTAATTTTAAATGATGAATTTATTCAATAATTATTTTCATAATTTATTTTTTAATTTAAAAAAAAACCAGAAAAGTGATAAATTATAAGTATAATATTTGTAATAAACGTAATAAAAAGTGATAAAATCAATCACAGTTCTTCTCTAGATAAAGGAGTTGTACTTTCTATCGGTTTTTCTAGATTACTTTCCACCTCAATCTGAGACATATCTTTAAGTTTCTCATTTGCTTCTTCAATACTTAATCCTTCTGGACGAATCTATAAAAAGAAATTAAGTTAAAGAATTTATTTTTTAATAAATTAAATCGACTTTTAAAACAAAGTTACTCACTCCCAAACCTTCTTCGGGTGGTTTTTCTATACCTTCGCACGCTTTAATTTTCCTATCACAAAATTCTTCTTGTAACAATAGATTTTTTTCTGTTTTATACTTTTTATAATAAGATATAAGACTCTCTTCTAGCTCTTCTCGATAATTTTCTTTATAAATTTATAATTAAATAATATACATTTTTTTATATATTAAAAAAATATATATTTTAATTTAAAAGAAAGAAAAAAAAAAGGTGTTTACCTAGAACATAGTCGCACGCTCTGATCATTTTGGGTGGGCTAAATCTATAAACAACAAAATTATCTACCACACAAAGATTATCTAGAGATGACTTTATTAATTTTTTTCTTCCCATTGAATTTTTTAATTTCTTATGTAATTCTGAAATTAAAAAGGAATAAAAAGGATTTATTCTATAATTAGATCTTGTGATAATGTAACATTAATCACATGTTAACTTATATGTTAAGTATTTGATGAGAAAATAGTTAAAATTATTAGTTTAATCATGCTGATTACAGTAATATTTTAACAAAGGTTATCCACAGAAAATATAATTTACTAAATTTAGATAAAATTATACACTTTACCTAATTAAAAGTCGATATTAAATTTGAAAATAAAAGAAAAATGAAGCTTTTACGTCTTGTAATTTTACAATTGTTATGTTTATTTATAGAATATAAAATTTATCGAGAAGAAAGTGTATATTTTTTAAGGATTTTCTTGCTAAAGGTGAAGAAAGTTTTACAGTTTAAACAGTTTTAATTTATGTTTTTATGTGAAGAAACTATTGTAAGAATATCAGTTACTTCCTTACGTTTAAACTTATTATATATAAACATATTTAACTTGTCATTTATATAGTTATAACATGAAACAACCGTCAATCCTTCCTTCGAGTAAAGTAAATAAAACGTTGTTTAGTTTATTTCATGAATAAAATAATAATAATTTATTTTTAACAATACAAATATTGATAAATTCTTATCTTTACAATTAGAATTTAGAGACAAATTTTCTCGTTAAATTGTTCACAATTTTAAAGAAAATCGATTAAAATTGTAAAGAAAACATTCTTCTTATTATTATTTTTTTAAATTTATAAGAGAAATTGAAAAAAAAAACTGGGAAGATAATGGAATTATATATAGGAACTCACCTTTTAAAACTGCTAAACATCCATCACAAAATAAAGCTAGAAAAATATACAAAAATCACACTTATTAACATTAAAAAAACAAAAATTATTATTAAAATTGTCATCTATTATTTTATTTTAAAAGAAAAAAAAAATAGCCATTTACAACGTCTCCCAACCTTTTTCAATAGTTCACTCCCTAATATTAAAAATGTCGATCGCGACTCCACGATTGGATGACCAAATTCTAAACTATCAAAATTGCATACTTACGTTGTCCAACATCCTTAGTTTTACAATATATTGGTAATATAAAATATATAGAAATAGTTATTAATATAAGTAAAGTTTTAAGATCCATTTTAAGACCAAAAGTTTAAGTTATAGAAAGTTCTTATACATAGAAAACTTGAACTTCGATATTGATAACCTTATCTTTGGTAGATAAAATTACTATTGAATAGAGTTAACAATAGATTTTATCATTAAGAGTGTATAAGTTAGTTGGAATATAATACTTTCATTTAAAGTATTACAAAAATATTTGAATAATTCAAGGTAATATTAGCAATAGCTTTATCATAAAAAAAAATTATATAATACATGATAATATAGAGAAGGCCATCGTTGTGTCTGCTTCTTTAACTGTTCTGTTCGTCCCTTTTTTAAAATAGAATGTTCATGTTATACCCGCTCTCCAAGCTGTTGAGACTTTACTCGACTCTCTGAAGTTTATCGCTAATCCTTTCTGGTTTGCCTTGTGTATCTGCCATGTTTCTGGTATATTGTTGGATTCCTTTTAAAAATTATCTTTTTGTTTGTTGTTCCTCCTATTTCTTTGTAAATATTGCTTACAGATGCCGTTACAGTGTATTCTTTTATTCTTTCCCGCTCATTACCTTCGTTATCGTCTAATCTTCTTATGTTGATAATGGCCATTATCGTATTCTGGTTGAAACCGCACTGCCTTGATTTGATCTAATTCTTTAATTCTGTCTTGCGGTTTGCTGCAATGTGTGTACTCTCTATAAGCGCCCGAAACGCTGCTATTTTATATCCGAATCGTGGGAGATCCATGGTATTAACAGCGGGTTATAAGTCGCCTTTCTGTACACTTTTAAACAATATTTATAAAGAAATAGGAGCAGCAACAAACATAAAGATAATTTTTAAAAGAAATCAAATAGTATACCAGATGCCTCCGTTGTGGATCTGACCGAACCCGCGACGGGCACGGAAAAAAAAGCGGTCTTAGTGAAGAGAATCGAAAATGGAGATACAGTAGAGCGTCGTTTATCCGAAGGTCGGTTATCCGAAACGTCGGTTATTCGAAGGAATTCCAGTCGACAAATTTAAATTTTCGCCAGTGCTGTGGCGCTGTAATCTTTGGATATGTCTTCGGCTACTCAAATATTTTACGTTTTTGATACTAAATTAACTTCTGAAGTATAATTTTTTATTGTTTTTATATTTTTCAATATATTTATTTTGTTTGTACAAAATAAAAAAATAATTTTTAACGATACAATAGTCTTCGTTAGGCTTAACATCGACGAAAATTCAACGCGAAGCGACACGCAACGGAGAAAAATTTAAACACGGGATAAATTAATAAATTTTTTCGTACATAATTGGTTATCCGAAAAATAAGTTATCCAAACAACCTCAGTCCCCAATTGATTCGGATAAACGACGCTCTACTGTATAATAAAAAAAAATTTTGGCAGAATTTTACATTATTTTTATTTTTTTATTTTAAATTTAAACTCTAAAATATTTAATACATATTTATTTAAATATTCCAGAGAATAATAATTTGATTGTTTCTACAAAAAAAAAAAAATTATCTAAAATCATTATGATTTTAAAATGCGTACAGTTGGCAACACTGAGTAATGTATTATTTAAGAAGATGGCGGTAGAACTTCATATGTAAAATTTTTTATTTATTTATTTATTTTTTGTATTTATTTTGAATAATGAATCATGTTTCAAATGGAATTATCGAATTGTGAAATACAAAACGTCAAACAGATAAGGAAGAAACTTCCTAAAGGTTTTATATAGCGACAAATGGTAAGAAAAATAAATGATTCCATTTAAAAAAAAGAAATCAATATTTTGATGTTATTTTAAGATGTTTTCATTCAAAAATTATTTTTCATATGTTAAATTTTATTCTAATTATTTATAAACAAATACAAGGATAATTATACAAGATTTGGTATTAATTTTTCATTATTTTAAGTAAACATTTCTATTAAATGATTACTTAATAATGAATTTGATGTATAAAAAGCATTTAAAAAGTCATTTGGAAGTTAATAATCGAACAATTGATAAGAAATAACTTAATATTTAATCAGAAATTTTATTAATGTAAATAACATGAGTATAAAGTAACTTTCTGAATGTTCTGTCAGTGTTAATGTTATCATTCTGTAAGTAAAACTCGCAAAAATAGTCAAATATTATTATTGTGTAAGATATTTTGCCGACGGGTTCCGTGGTGTTCTGCCGTCGAGGCGTGAAGTATTTCCAAATTCGAGCTTGTCGAGGCGTGAAGGAGGAGGTGGAGGACGATGACGACGGCTAATCTACTTCCTTCTTACGTTGACGTGTGGTGTCGTATGGTTTTTGAGTTGCCTTCGATTCCTTCTGTCCCCGTCGTGTATGGTGATGTACTTTGGGTAAAGTTCTTCCCTTTTAATTATGTGTACGATAGTTCCTGGACTCTCGATGTTGAAGAATGGCTTTAAAAAGTTCCAAAATATTTTATAAAATTGATTATTTATTTGTATGAATTGTAAGAAGGTTTATAAGTATTTTATGCTGCCAAAAATCCACGTGAATGATGCTTCGACTCCCTGCCTCCCTTATCGTGCACGATAGTGTTGTCACCTTTTCAAAATCGCTGACCCGGATGAGAGGTCAGGTTTGTTTGAACAGAAGTTCCTGACTCATGCACAATGTCATTTTACAATGCGAAGAATAATGTGCATGCAAATCAGTTAGTGTGCAGATAATTTAGCTCTAACTCTATTTGAGACGTGCACGATCGTACATAAAAAAAAAAAGGGTTGACAGGTTGCTGCGCGCCACATGTCAACGTAAACAGACTAATATGGCAGAATTGCAGAGGAGTTTCAGTGAGTGTGAATTCTTTTGCCGTTAAAATAGTATAAATTTGTAAAAATATTTGCAAGAACTTTGTTTCATTGTAATTTCACAACTTATACGAAATTTCCGGACAAAATTATTAGTTCACCTGGACAGTGAGTCAATTCCCAGACTGTTCAGGTGAAAACCAGACAGGTGGTAACACTAGTGCACGATGATTTTGCAGTTTAAACATTTTTATATTTGTTATTTTTATCATAAAAAAATTTCTTATGGATGACAAAATAAAAATATGTTATTAATTGAAAATTTGTTTAAGCGGGTCACGTTCGTTTAGTTGAGTACCAAGCAACTTTTTTCCAGAATTTGTGTTTGAATACTAAATTGCTTGAGTACCGAGATACCACGGTGTTTCGTTTCTCATGTTTACAAATGAAGTAATCATTTGTATGTACGGTTAAAATAAGTTTAATAACACTTACCTAAAAATGTTTAAATAAACTTTACTAAATATGAAGATTAATCTATAAAAAGAAAACACATGACAATCTTAAGGGCTAAATCTGAAAGCAGTCACTACGATAGGAAAGTTAGTGCAGTTTTTTCTTCCGTGCCCTATTCCTTTCATTAAAGTAAACCCAACGAAAAGCAAAAAATAATTGAAAATTTCAGTATTGTAAAATCCGTGGGCTAATTTGAGATGACACACATGCTTACTTGAATAACAAAAATATTAATAACAAAGTTTACACTTAAAAAATTGTGAAATTTTGTACATTGATTTCTAAAACTGTGTTAGAGTGAAACTGGAAGTCATGTACGGAGGATAGCATGTTTTCAAACCGTGTTGTTTGAGGGATACCTGTACTTATTTGATATAATAAGGTTATTAATATTTATAATTTTGATGATAAAGTAAGAAACAAAAATGGAGTACTATAGATTAGAAAAATGAGTTTTTCTCAAGTGTAAACTATGAATTTTTAAATAATAATTTCTTAATCACACAAAATCCAAATATTTCAAATCGTTTTTATACAAGATTGTATATATTCAAGAAATACTCAAAAATGTCTTATGTAACCATTTGACCTTATCACCTGTATAATAATCTTTCGATTTCCTTTTGGCTCACCTTCCTTTAAAATGTTTGTGTTATACCAGAATATTCCTAATTCCTATCTGTATTTGTTTATATTTGCACTTTTTAAATCAAATATAAAGATAGATTTGACGAAGATTAATTATTCCATATAAGCCTAATAAAATTTGGAAACTATCCCATAAACTAAGTTTATGAAGCTATCTTTCAAATTTTAATGCAAATATATTATTAAATGTATTTAAAAAATTTTTATTTATTGTCATGTGTAGCATATAAGTGTTATATGTTGTGTAGAGTTTTAAATTGTCTGTCTACATGTTTATTTGAGCTAGGCTGTAGTTTAATTATCTTTATTTTATGTAATATTTCATGGAGGCTATTTATCAGTGACAAAGCAATTTTATAGCTGTATTTACTGTATAATTAGACATCGTTATGGTCAAAAGACCATTTTTACGAAAAATACAATTACAAGTCAAAATGAAATGAGTATATAAAATATGACATTTCTAGAAACAAAATGAAAAACAAATATAAAAAACAAAAGTTACATTTGTTTTAACATTTTATATACAGTTATTTTTTGTATCTAAATAAGATTTCTTGTAAACCAAACAATACACTTTTAACAGTGAGTAACAATATGAAGATGTAAATGTTTTCAAGCTGTTAACTGGCCATCATCAAGTGTAAAAAGGATAGAAGATATCCATGATGATGATCTACTAACCAATCAAAACATTAAGATGAAAGCTTAGTTCATTGGGATACAACATTATCTACATTTTCTTCTCTTGTAAATACCTGTAACATGGAACCTGTAAATTGTACGGCTGATAGTGAGGGAGGGGTTCAAGGAATACAGATGTGAAATATAGCTTTCCAACTTCCTCCAGTCTCATTTTGGATTGGTCGAGGGAAGAGTTGTCTGAATTCTATTAAAGGGTAGACTTTGTTGTGAAAATTGAGAGCAAAGTAGGGCTGAGTTTGTTTTTAGTTACTATAGATTTTATTACACACTAGATATATTAAGCAAAGATTGGTGATACAGATGTAAACTATCAGTGTATGTGACATTTTTAAAGTAATGTAAATTCTAAAGGAATAACTGATAATGTGATTTGCAAATGAAAGTATACTGATGTCTAAGTCATAAACTAAGAAACAAGATGATTTATAATTGTGTAGTACTTGTGATGGAAAAATTCTACAGAAGATTGTACCCCTCTGAATGGTAACTGATAATCAGTCAGAATGATAACTGATATTCATTGCTGAAGTATATGCTATCAGCATTATAAATAACTTTTGTAATTGCAAATGTTCTTATCAGCATACAATGCAACTGTTCATACTACTAATGTTATGGTAGACTGAATATAAGCATGTGGAATATAGACTGATTATCCTAGAGCTTCCTAATTTCAGATATGTACACTATCACTGAATATTTAAATCTATTGTACTATTGTGATTAACTTAGTAATAAATTATTATGCAGAAATTATTAAGGCATAAAAAGCAACTTATTATAATTTGATAATTTAAACGTAGCGTTTAAATTGGATTCAAACCCATATTCTGGCATATCAAGGAATTCGATAACAATTTATAAATCAGTAAAATAAATTTTATTTCTGTTAATGTTATGAGCAGTTAAATATTAGTTAGTGAAATGTTAAATGTATGATTTATATCCTTATTAATTTTTATATATTATATAAATAGAATAAACTCTGATGATTAAATTTTTTGCAGCTAGTCATCATGTTTAAAGTTCTCTTGCTAGTCATCATGTGCTTTAATCAAGTAGCTCACAATCTGCTTGCGGCATATACACGACAGCTATCTTCTAATCCATTATATTTTTCGTCCACTGTCGTCTTTCTGTCGGAAACATTCAAATTACTAATCTCTCTGGCAATGTTAATTCATACTTGCAGATGGAATTGGACTTCTTTATCTATTCTTCTACAGAAAGAAGTGATTAATAAAAGAACAGAATTCTTAAAACTTCTTATTCCTGCTGCACTTTATGCACTACAGAATAATTTGGTTTACATATCCTTAACAAATTTAGATCCAGCCACTTTCCAGGTATGTTTTTTTCTTACTTATAAAATTACTGGTGTAATAGTTTATACTGTTTAATATTACTGATAATAGAAATATGTCAGTCTGTCAAAATTGTTGCAATAATGTAAAAAATATATATATATATATTGAAGATATATTTTTTGTTACTTTTTCATGGTAATGTCCAAAAATTGGTCTTCTGTTATAAGTAATATATTTTTTACTTTTTGTCTCATATTTATGTAATAATTAGCTTGTTTAATGTATAATATGTAAAATAATTACTTAGTGTGACAGACCTCACTTTTATGTTAATTACTTGCTGGAAAACCCATTAAATGATACATTACATTTCTCATAACCTCAGGGTACAAAGGTTTTTGAGCTTAACTTCTTAACCTATCATATAAAAAGATTGCTAATGAAGGTGAAAAATAAATTGAGGAAACATTGCTAGAAGTACATTTTGAATTATATAATGTAATTTATGAATCACATGTCTGTGATTCTGTGAGATAGCTGCAGATGGCAATAGACCTCTTTTTGCTCATATAGCACTAAGAGGTCCAAAGTATTAATATATTGTTAGTTTGTATTAATTGTATAGTAGACTCGTAACATTAAACTACCCTTGTTGTAGTGTAGGTTTCATAAAATTACATATATTTATTATCTGTATTTATTTTATTGTGCTTGAGAGAATTATACTTATTAAACTTTCTTTCCTGTTCTTTCCTGAACAGTATATTAGTAAATAGCCAAACCTAACTTTTTCTGATTTGTCCAATGCTGTGGAGGAAAGGAAAGCAGCAGACTAAACCACTGATATGTTCAAAAGTGTTAAACCCATTTATGTCTGAATTTTGGCAAATAATTACTGAACTAATAGGGAACCATTGACAATTTCCAACTATATGGAAGACCACACTTACGCCATCTACCAGAACTGGCATGGGCATAAGGAATACTTAGGATAGCAGAGTTACTGTTTGTGACTTGCAGACATCTATGTATTTAAAACTATATAATTATATATTAATCTCATGGCCAGCAGCAGAATTTTGATACTTCTGATATAACACAAAAAAATACAGTATGCTATATCTTTATTTAATTTTTGTAAAAATGAGTTGCCTTAGTAATTTTATAATATTTTCTGAACTGATCAGATCAATGGAACCAATAGGAACTACTCATTCTGTTTTGCTGCCAATGATGATTGGCAGCAGCATGTCATGCTCTGGGATAGCTGTTGGCAGTCGGCAACTAACCTATTTGATCCGGTCTCCCACATTGTCTTAAACCACCTGTGGGAACACCCAATAGCATGTGTTTTATCTGATCTAGCTGTACTTACCACTTCTATCTTCTTTTGTTCTGTCCTTCTGTGTGTTACAGTGTTCTCCTTTAATCATGGCTAGTAATGGTAAGGAACCTTCTGTACTCTGCAGCTCTCTGTATGTAGTTTGTAGTTTATAAAGTGTTATAACATTTTTTTAAAAAGGTCTGTTTTGTGCGAATAGAGGTTAAGGTGGCAGCATTCGAATTTGGACATATCCAAACCCCAAGAATTTTTTTGGGATTAGGTTGTCCAGATACATCAGGGCTCATGGACCTGGCCAAACTCATAACAGTATTGCTAAAAAAAAAGGCCCTCTTAAAGAGTTTAAAAAAAAAACTTATATAATGCATTAAGTAATTTTGTGTTTTGTTATGACATATCACATATCACAACAAAATTGTATCTAATTAAGGCATCTTCATTGCAGTTTGGGTGTTCTGGCTAGTCATAATTATCAGTTCTATATATTTTTGTGAGTCATTTTGAATGTAACATTTCATACAGATGCAAGTCATGACATGTTCTTTTTTTCAAGATTTCTCCTGTGCCTTCAGATTGATAATTCCATCTGATCCAAAAAAGTTTTCATTTTGATCTCATTCTGATCACAAAACTTGTTTCCAGTTTCAAAAAATGAATCAACTATTGTTTCCAGTTGTTTAAAATGAACTTTTTGTATTTTTTTTGCCCATGCTAGGCTTCATAGGGATGAAAGTAGGGTCTTTTTTCTAGCATGACAACTCTTTAGACCAAAACTGTGCAATTAATTTCTGATTGTTTGATCATATACACGTATTTGCCAATCTGTCCATAAACTATTGCATAGTTTTGGCGCTGATAAACTTTCTTTGCGTTTTGCACCATTTTTCTGTCCTCAAACTGAAGTTTTTCTTGGACATCCAGTTTGGCAAATTTGTTACAGTTCCATATATTTTGAATGTTTTCCCAATACTTCTAATATATCCACACGAACACTAGTTAACTGGTGGATTTTTTATAACCTAATCCAGTTTTGTTAAGTTGAATAAGTTTTTTTTTGTTGCTTGTGGTAACTTTTTCCGCCCACATACATAAAATAATTTTTGGTTGATTCAAAATGTTAAAGCCAATGTAGACTTTACTAATGCTTACCTCACTACATTTTCTGAAGTGTTAGTAAAGCTCTTTTATGATATGGTACTTATAAAATTTTTTATATAAGAATCTACAATAGCAAATTAAAAAAATTGATTCTTTCTAAATTTATGGGGATCAGAAAAGTTATTTTCATATAATGATTACCTATAGTCGTATTTTATATTATGTAAATTTGCTGATGTGCATAAAAATACTGAAGTTTTCACATACAAGGGGAACCTAGCAGTTTGTAATCACCGATTTTGATGAAATTTTGTGGATGTGTTGTATTTACTTACTTTTAAACTCTACCAAAGCGACAAAGCTTTGGTAGAGTTTAAGTATAAGTAAATACAACACATCCACAACATACCCACTATTCAAGCATTCTCGAGAAAATTACAACAAAAGTTTTTCTACAATTATCGTCATCAGTGCAGAAGAATGATTCATGAAGTTGTGGTATAGTGTGATTAGTTAAGGAGTCACAGGTGGAGGTTTTGTTTTCAGATTCAATCTCCATGTGCAAGGTTTTTTTTTACATTTTATAATTTAATCTTATCATTTTTAAACTTTAGTGCAATTTTTAAGATCATTGAAAACATATTTTACTCTGATCACTCCAGTTTTAGAAAGTACTTAGAACATTATAATCACATTTTGTATTATTTAATTTAATGTAGATTTTTTATAGACTTTTTAATTGAAATATTACAGCCATCTGTAAAGAATAAAAAGTTTTTGTTAATAATATATTCATGGGGTGGTAAAACAAATTCTGAAATATATGACAAAGTTTTTTAGATGATGATGATATTCCATCTTGCCAATTAAAACTTATTCTGTTGAATTTCATACTCATCTTTGTCAGCCTTGCAATGTTTATTTTAATTTTAAGACAGGTTAAAAATTTTAGCTACAATTTTGTAATTTTTTGATATCTTCTTAAAACCAATAGATTGTGAAGATGCTATTAAAATACAATCTCTGATTAAAAAAAAAATCTCCTTTTCGAATTACTGGAGTTAAGCAAACAAAAACAAAACCTTCAAATATCAGTAACATTACTTTAACGAAAACTTTGAACGTTTTTGGCCATCTCCAAGGCCTGCCTCAGGTTTTTTAACAAAACGAATTCCAAAATGGAATGCTAGAATTTGTTTCATTAAAAAACCTGAGGCAGGCCTTGAGAAGGCTTAAAATGTTTGAAGTTTTTGTTAAAGTAATGTTACTGGTATTTAAAGGTTTTATTTTTGTTTACAATCTGTGATTTGGAACCAGTTAAGCATGTTAAAATATGCGTGGTTCATGTCTCAAATAAAACATGTAAGAAATATTTTCAAAAAGGCTAATAAAGTTTATTTTCCACTCTGTGTTGTTAAAACAAAATGTAAAGACTGTACAAATGAAATAGCAATGAATACATGTACTTTACATGGTGCAATGAGTCATTTTGTTTTAACTGTTTATATGATAAAATACTACCCAGCATGATGTCTTATTATTATTATTATTTCTTTAAATTGTAGAAAACTAATTTTTAAAATTCCCTGAAATCTTATAACGAATAATAAATTTTGCGATCAATAATTAAAAATGGCATAAATATTGTATACCATATAATTGTAAAGATGTCGACAGCTAAGCATGTAATGTAAATANTAAAAAAAAACCAGAAAAGTGATAAATTATAAGTATAATATTTGTAATAAACGTAATAAAAAGTGATAAAATCAATCACAGTTCTTCTCTAGATAAAGGAGTTGTACTTTCTATCGGTTTTTCTAGATTACTTTCCACCTCAATCTGAGACATATCTTTAAGTTTCTCATTTGCTTCTTCAATACTTAATCCTTCTGGACGAATCTATAAAAAGAAATTAAGTTAAAGAATTTATTTTTTAATAAATTAAATCGACTTTTAAAACAAAGTTACTCACTCCCAAACCTTCTTCGGGTGGTTTTTCTATACCTTCGCACGCTTTAATTTTCCTATCACAAAATTCTTCTTGTAACAATAGATTTTTTTCTGTTTTATACTTTTTATAATAAGATATAAGACTCTCTTCTAGCTCTTCTCGATAATTTTCTTTATAAATTTATAATTAAATAATATACATTTTTTTATATATTAAAAAAATATATATTTTAATTTAAAAGAAAGAAAAAAAAAAGGTGTTTACCTAGAACATAGTCGCACGCTCTGATCATTTTGGGTGGGCTAAATCTATAAACAACAAAATTATCTACCACACAAAGATTATCTAGAGATGACTTTATTAATTTTTTTCTTCCCATTGAATTTTTTAATTTCTTATGTAATTCTGAAATTAAAAAGGAATAAAAAGGATTTATTCTATAATTAGATCTTGTGATAATGTAACATTAATCACATGTTAACTTATATGTTAAGTATTTGATGAGAAAATAGTTAAAATTATTAGTTTAATCATGCTGATTACAGTAATATTTTAACAAAGGTTATCCACAGAAAATATAATTTACTAAATTTAGATAAAATTATACACTTTACCTAATTAAAAGTCGATATTAAATTTGAAAATAAAAGAAAAATGAAGCTTTTACGTCTTGTAATTTTACAATTGTTATGTTTATTTATAGAATATAAAATTTATCGAGAAGAAAGTGTATATTTTTTGAGGATTTTCTTGCTAAAGAGTGAAGAAAGTTTTACAGTTTAAACAGTTTTAATTTATGTTTTTATGTGAAGAAACTATTGTAAGAATATCAGTTACTTCCTTACGTTTAAACTTATTATATATAAACATATTTAACTTGTCATTTATATAGTTATAACATGAAACAACCGTCAATCCTTCCTTCGAGTAAAGTAAATAAAACGTTGTTTAGTTTATTTCATGAATAAAATAATAATAATTTATTTTTAACAATACAAATATTGATAAATTCTTATCTTTACAATTAGAATTTAGAGACAAATTTTCTCGTTAAATTGTTCACAATTTTAAAGAAAATCGATTAAAATTGTAAAGAAAACATTCTTCTTCTTATTATTTTTTTAAATTTATAAGAGAAATTGAAAAAAAAAACTGGGAAGATAATGGAATTATATATAGGAACTCACCTTTTAAAACTGCTAAACATCCATCACAAAATAAAGCTAGAAAAATATACAAAAATCACACTTATTAACATTAAAAAAACAAAAATTATTATTAAAATTGTCATCTATTATTTTATTTTAAAAGAAAAAAAAAATAGCCATTTACAACGTCTCCCAACCTTTTTCAATAGTTCACTCCCTAATATTAAAAATGTCGATCGCGACTCCACGATTGGATGACCAAATTCTAAACTATCAAAATTGCATACTTACGTTGTCCAACATCCTTAGTTTTACAATATATTGGTAATATAAAATATATAGAAATAGTTATTAATATAAGTAAAGTTTTAAGATCCATTTTAAGACCAAAAGTTTAAGTTATAGAAAGTTCTTATACATAGAAAACTTGAACTTCGATATTGATAACCTTATCTTTGGTAGATAAAATTACTATTGAATAGAGTTAACAATAGATTTTATCATTAAGAGTGTATAAGTTAGTTGGAATATAATACTTTCATTTAAAGTATTACAAAAATATTTGAATAATTCAAGGTAATATTAGCAATAGCTTTATCATAAAAAAAAATTATATAATACATGATAATATAGAGAAGGCCATCGTTGTGTCTGCTTCTTTAACTGTTCTGTTCGTCCCTTTTTTAAAATAGAATGTTCATGTTATACCCGCTCTCCAAGCTGTTGAGACTTTACTCGACTCTCTGAAGTTTATCGCTAATCCTTTCTGGTTTGCCTTGTGTATCTGCCATGTTTCTGGTATATTGTTGGATTCCTTTTAAAAATTATCTTTTTGTTTGTTGTTCCTCCTATTTCTTTGTAAATATTGCTTACAGATGCCGTTACAGTGTATTCTTTTATTCTTTCCCGCTCATTACCTTCGTTATCGTCTAATCTTCTTATGTTGATAATGGCCATTATCGTATTCTGGTTGAAACCGCACTGCCTTGATTTGATCTAATTCTTTAATTCTGTCTTGCGGTTTGCTGCAATGTGTGTACTCTCTATAAGCGCCCGAAACGCTGCTATTTTATATCCGAATCGTGGGAGATCCATGGTATTAACAGCGGGTTATAAGTCGCCTTTCTGTACACTTTTAAACAATATTTATAAAGAAATAGGAGCAGCAACAAACATAAAGATAATTTTTAAAAGAAATCAAATAGTATACCAGATGCCTCCGTTGTGGATCTGACCGAACCCGCGACGGGCACGGAAAAAAAAGCGGTCTTAGTGAAGAGAATCGAAAATGGAGATACAGTAGAGCGTCGTTTATCCGAAGGTCGGTTATCCGAAACGTCGGTTATTCGAAGGAATTCCAGTCGACAAATTTAAATTTTCGCCAGTGCTGTGGCGCTGTAATCTTTGGATATGTCTTCGGCTACTCAAATATTTTACGTTTTTGATACTAAATTAACTTCTGAAGTATAATTTTTTATTGTTTTTATATTTTTCAATATATTTATTTTGTTTGTACAAAATAAAAAAAATAATTTTTAACGATACAGTAGTCTTCGTTAGGCTTAACATCGACGAAAATTCAACGCGAAGGAACACGCNCCCAATACTTCTAATATATCCACACGAACACTAGTTAACTGGTGGATTTTTTATAACCTAATCCAGTTTTGTTAAGTTGAATAAGTTTTTTTTTGTTGCTTGTGGTAACTTTTTCCGCCCACATACATAAAATAATTTTTGGTTGATTCAAAATGTTAAAGCCAATGTAGACTTTACTAATGCTTACCTCACTACATTTTCTGAAGTGTTAGTAAAGCTCTTTTATGATATGGTACTTATAAAATTTTTTATATAAGAATCTACAATAGCAAATTAAAAAAATTGATTCTTTCTAAATTTATGGGGATCAGAAAAGTTATTTTCATATAATGATTACCTATAGTCGTATTTTATATTATGTAAATTTGCTGATGTGCATAAAAATACTGAAGTTTTCACATACAAGGGGAACCTAGCAGTTTGTAATCACCGATTTTGATGAAATTTTGTGGATGTGTTGTATTTACTTACTTTTAAACTCTACCAAAGCGACAAAGCTTTGGTAGAGTTTAAGTATAAGTAAATACAACACATCCACAACATACCCACTATTCAAGCATTCTCGAGAAAATTACAACAAAAGTTTTTCTACAATTATCGTCATCAGTGCAGAAGAATGATTCATGAAGTTGTGGTATAGTGTGATTAGTTAAGGAGTCACAGGTGGAGGTTTTGTTTTCAGATTCAATCTCCATGTGCAAGGTTTTTTTTTACATTTTATAATTTAATCTTATCATTTTTAAACTTTAGTGCAATTTTTAAGATCATTGAAAACATATTTTACTCTGATCACTCCAGTTTTAGAAAGTACTTAGAACATTATAATCACATTTTGTATTATTTAATTTAATGTAGATTTTTTATAGACTTTTTAATTGAAATATTACAGCCATCTGTAAAGAATAAAAAGTTTTTGTTAATAATATATTCATGGGGTGGTAAAACAAATTCTGAAATATATGACAAAGTTTTTTAGATGATGATGATATTCCATCTTGCCAATTAAAACTTATTCTGTTGAATTTCATACTCATCTTTGTCAGCCTTGCAATGTTTATTTTAATTTTAAGACAGGTTAAAAATTTTAGCTACAATTTTGTAATTTTTTGATATCTTCTTAAAACCAATAGATTGTGAAGATGCTATTAAAATACAATCTCTGATTAAAAAAAAAATCTCCTTTTCGAATTACTGGAGTTAAGCAAACAAAAACAAAACCTTCAAATATCAGTAACATTACTTTAACGAAAACTTTGAACGTTTTTGGCCATCTCCAAGGCCTGCCTCAGGTTTTTTAACAAAACGAATTCCAAAATGGAATGCTAGAATTTGTTTCATTAAAAAACCTGAGGCAGGCCTTGAGAAGGCTTAAAATGTTTGAAGTTTTTGTTAAAGTAATGTTACTGGTATTTAAAGGTTTTATTTTTGTTTACAATCTGTGATTTGGAACCAGTTAAGCATGTTAAAATATGCGTGGTTCATGTCTCAAATAAAACATGTAAGAAATATTTTCAAAAAGGCTAATAAAGTTTATTTTCCACTCTGTGTTGTTAAAACAAAATGTAAAGACTGTACAAATGAAATAGCAATGAATACATGTACTTTACATGGTGCAATGAGTCATTTTGTTTTAACTGTTTATATGATAAAATACTACCCAGCATGATGTCTTATTATTATTATTATTTCTTTAAATTGTAGAAAACTAATTTTTAAAATTCCCTGAAATCTTATAACGAATAATAAATTTTGCGATCAATAATTAAAATTGGCATAAATATTGTATACCATATAATTGTAAAGATGTTGACAGCTAAGCATGTAATGTAAATATTTTATTGGTTAATGGTTTAATTGGTTTGAGTGTGAAGTCTTGTAATATTGTAAAAAAATTTTTTGCTTTACATAAAATATGATTACCTAACTGATGAGGGCCATTAACATCAGGGACCGAAATGCATTTTAGGAGGCACATAAAGCAATAATAGTTTCAATTGTATGATGAACCTGTAATAAAATTATGTACTATGTAATTTTAAAAAGTACTGTACATTGTATTATAAATTTTAAAAAGATAAGATTAAATTATAAATGTTAAAGAACACCCTGCAGAGATCAAACCCTAAAACAAAAATTTTATGTTACACCTTAACTAAGCTGCAACTTTGTGAATTGCTCTTCTGTACTGATACTGTAGAAAAATTTTTATAGTCATTTTCTCAAAAATGCCTGAATAGTGGGTCCTGTGGCTTTAGTATAGTTTAAGTATAAGTAAATACAACACATCCACAAAATTTTATTAAAATCGGTGATTACAAACTGCTGGGGTTCTCTTGTCGGCATTGCAATGGTGCATGGTCGGCATTTACATATTGTATAGTACAGTACTGTACAGTACATATTTTCTCTCTCATTTTGATGGTAATGGGAAATTAATGTCTTGTAGAATGTGAATATTATTTTAAAGATGCATGATGTATGTTGCAAAATGCAGTGTAGCACCTTTTAGCATTAAATTGCAGGATTTTTTAAATCTTTTTTACCATTTATTTACAATCTTACTTTATAGATTCAGTTACTATATTTTCTCTCTCAATTTATGTATAATGACTGAAAGTAAATATTACTATTGAAATTATTAAAAGGAAGTATCTTCATGAAAAGCATTCTTTATATATACTTTAAAAATCTCTGTTGTTACATTTATGATTGGAATCAAATTTTACAAGCTTTATTTTGGTAAATTTTGAAATGATTCTGATAACATATTAATAGCTACTGTGTCATAAGATAATATAATTTTTTTAAAGATAGTAATAAAGTTTATTGGAAATTGATAAATTTATTACATCATCATTCAACCAACTCAGTCAAATTTTTCATCTCATTAAAAGCTTTTTTATTACTCTCCAATTGGTGACATGTATTAATTTTAGTGCACAAAGCAGACGCAACATTCTAAATTTCAGTGCAGTTGTGACAAATGTTAGTTTTAGATTCATATTGGTTCATCCAAAATTTATCGCTACATAGTGCAAATTGTTCCAGTTATTATACAATTCAAAGACATTGCTACATAGTTTTATATACAACTTTAATCAGTTTGTTTTTACAGTATTTGATTATCAATTTATCACCATTGTTATCTGTCTTACATTACAGGTTTCTACAAATCTGAAAATTTTAACAACTGCTTTATTTATGAGATTAATACTTGGACACAGATTGTCCACGATAAGATTTGCGGCCATTATAATTCTGTTTTTGGGAATAGTAATCGTACAGTTACAGCCTCAGCATACGAATTCCTATCACGGAAACTACTTACTTGGTATAAGCTCTGTCTTAGTCATATGCATATGTGCAGGATTTGCAGGTAATTGTTATATTTAATAAAATATTTTATTATGTTAAAATTAAAAAAAAAAAAGAAAAAAATTTTTTTTATTATGAATTTCAGGTGTTTATTTTGAAAAAATTCTTAAAGATACAGATGTACCATTTTGGGTGAAAAATCTTGAAATGTACATATGGGGAATATTAAGTGCCGGTATAGGTCTTCTGAGCCAAGATTACGATAGTATTAGCAAGAAAGGATTTTTTTTTGGTTATACGCCTGTCGTATGGATCATTATAAGTAAGTAAAATTATCAACATTAATACCCTAGAAACTAGTTTCAGTGCTGCCGTCTAATATATAGTATACTTTCTCACCTTTAAGAATTATGAAGATATTTTTTTGGAAAAAAATGGGCAAAAGTCATGTATACTTTTAAGGATATTCTATGCCATTTTTCAATTTAAGTTGACTTGGATATGTTGAACCTGGTCCTTCATTACCTGGCTGCTCTAATTGTGGGCCTATTCTAATTCATATTGAGCATTAAAAAGGTGTTCTTATTTTCTAGTTTTTTCTTTTCTGTTAGTGCTTTCTACTCTTAGAATCCTATTTGAAATTCAAAATAAT